TATTTTTATTATTTATTTTTAATAAGCCGGGACAGAAAATTTCGTTATAAATTCATAACTTCTTCGTTTGACGTCCGTTCTCGCCTAACTTTTTATCGCTTTGATACTAACAACGAGATCTTCGATTCTCATTTAGATCACTAAGGCTAAATATCGCTCTAACGTAAATTTCACTTTTTACGTTATTTAGCGGTGTCGGTTCTATTGCGAAACTTCGACTGGTCATAACTTCTTCATTATAACTCGGATGTCGGCATTCTTTATATCTTCGGAAACCTTGTTTCAACTACTACAACATTATCTAAAGATATCAAGTTTATTATACACTTAAATTTTGACACTTATTTTTATTCTTAATTAATCAAACCACATAATTAAGCAATTAAGCACAAAACACATAATAATCAAATAATACACTTATATTATTTCAAAACGGGTTACAAAGGTTAACCTAGACTATCACATTGCTAAAAATGGAAAGCCCAGAAACACAGGCGTTACAGTTACACACCACGACTCAGTTATACATCACGATACGTTTCCACTTGTTACACACTCAGTCGTAGTTAGATGTATGTTAGTGCTTGTATAGGTGCATATAAATAATGATTGAAGGACTTAGGAAGGCTTGTCCGCCCTATTTCCTTTTCTTCGTTGAGATGTGGTCTGGTGGGATCGGATGGTCGTCCGAAGGTCGTTTGATTCATTAGTTGTATGTTATGTATACGAGCATAGACATATAGGTTTACTCTAGTCAGTTCAGTTATAAGTCTCTACCTCTAGTTCAACACTTATATATGAAACCCACTACCCACTCTTTGGGATGCATCTTCGGGACGCGGCCTTCTCCATCGTCTAGTTGGTAACCAAAGTCTCCTGTAGGGAGAGCGGACATTGTGTGTATAGATCTATACGGGATTGACACCCCCACACCCTGACTGCTAGCTACAGTCCACGGCCCACCAAGCCAAGGGGTGTCAAATGTCATATTTTATAGACGCTTGTAGGGCGTCAGGTACTCTAGTGTCGGTTAGTATGGTTACGAGTATCCCAGGTTGCCTTATAATTCATGGCCTTAAGGTAACGGTATTTCACCAGCAACTTACAGTGTATGCTGGAAACCCATTCTCTGAGTCGCACTATTTTTAGACCTTGCAAGCTGTATCTTTCATTTGATACTGTCTACGGTCTGTATTCTCTGTTTTAGATCTTGCAAGTTGTATCTTTCATTTGATACTGTCTGCGGTCTGTATTCTTTGTTTTAGACCCTACTAGTTGTATCTTTCATTTGGTACCGTCTGGGGTCTGTATCTCCTTTTGTTAGACTAAGTTAGGCGTGTCGTTCGTTCGATACTCTCCTGGAGTCTATGATTCCTTTTGCCTTAGTCAGCAGTCCTCACTGCTGAGGCATATGTTATTTCCCTGATTTCTCTTGCTTTCTTTAATAATCAATTTCTGTATTTTGATAATGATAGCGATTAAGAGAAAACTACTTTTTACCACATAACTCCGTCCAGTCTTGGTAGAAGACTGCTTTTATTAAAGAAAATATAGGATTTTCTGGAAATGACTCTATTTCTGTAACACCGTGATTTTCAAGACAAGATTTTTCATTTAAATAATCAATTTAATATTAAGAACACTCATTTTAAATCTTATTCACATTCGAATTACAAAACATAGTTTCATTTTCATTATAATAGAAGACCAGGATCCTCCAAAACACAACTCTTTCTTCGGTGTGTACAATCGAACCGTTGCCATCCCGCGTTACTGTAAGAACCTGAAACAACATAACATAAACAACGTAAGCACGAAGCTTAGTGAGTTCCCCAATATACACCTTACGCACGTACGCCTTTCTGGCCCTGACCTTCCGGTCCACTGCACAATGCCTTCCGGCCCATGAGATAATCGCCTTCCGGCCCATAAGATATTTGCCTTCCGGCCCATAAGATAATTGCCTTCCAGCCCATAAGATAATTGCCTTCCGGCCCATAAAATAATTGCCTTCCGGCCCATAAAATAATCGCCTTCCGGCCCATACACATATATAACACATAATACAAATACTCTAACACATAAAGCACATATATCATATATCAACCTGCCTTCCGGCCCGTAACATACTCTAACACAATAAGCACATATATCATATATCATACCTGACCTTTCTATCACATAATACTTTGCCTTCCGGCCCATATATAAACATGTATATCACGCGTAGCAGCTAACTTTCCATTTATAGCATATAAACATAGCACATAACATACTTGACCTTCCGGTCACACAATCAAACCCTTCCGGGTGAAGTATAGTGAGAAGACTCACCTCGCGGACACTGGAAGATAGCAACTCCTGAAATCCCTTGCACTTGATCCTCCGAGCTACAAGCTCCCTGAATCATCATATATCCCTTATTAATACTTCTATCTTCCACGTTAACTGACCCTAAGAAATCACACCGGTCAACCCTGGTCAACAGTCCATTGTCAGCTCGACTGGACTCGGCGAGTTCCCTGGCGACTCGGCGAGTCTGGTCGTCCTTCAATCCTCTAAGAGTCCCCTTCTACTCGTTGAGTATCCTCTTTGACTCGACGAGTCACTCCTGGAAGAATCGCGGGGCCACCCTGACTCCACTCGCCGAGTCTGAAGAACAACTCGGCGAGTCCCAGTGAATCTTCAAGCTACTCGCCGAGTCTGATCATCCGACTCGGCGAGTCCACGCCATGCAGTCGATCAAACTGCTTCCTGAGATACATATTTTCCCGAATATACCAACATAAGACCTTCTGGACCTCTAAGGGTACTAATACAGGGTTATAAACGTTGGATAACAACACAACAATCCCTCTAATCTCCAAATGGGTTTCACAAACCCTAAATCCATGCACACATTCACATAATAGAAAATAATCCGAAAGGTTACCTGAATCATGCACTCTCAGTGTCCCCAAGCCTCAAAACGTGATTCCCTTGCCGTCCCATTAGCCAAAACCTTCTCCTTCTTGGACAATAACTTCCTCAAATCACCAATGATCTTCAATTCTTGTTCTGGATGCCCACAACCGATTTAGGATCCTTCTCAGTCGGCCAAAAGGCGAACAATGGCGGCATAAGATCCCTTATATACGTCCCAAACTGAACGGCTAGGGTTTTCCACTGAACAGCGTCGACTCGCCGAGTCCATACCTGGACTCGTCGAGTCCAGCCACGAACCCGCGACCACAACTGCGACCCTACTCGGCGAGTCTGGCTCCAACTCGCCGAGTCCCCCTTTAAAACACCCCAAAATGCTATTAAACAATACTTAAGATTTTGGGCTGTTACAATTTCACTATATACTTGAAAACTACTACTTATATAAAGTTTTTGTATAAAATGACACTAAATACTTATGAACTCACCAGCATTTGTAAAAATGCTGATACTCGCTTTTCAAATAACTTGTATTCTCAGGTCAGCATTAGACAGGTACATCCCCGGAGCTGTTGATGAAGATAGCTTAGTACCATGCTGTATTTATTATATTTGCTTGTATTACTCTGATAAATTGTAATGTAAATAATGTAAAACTATTACCATTAATGCAATGTTTTGTTGTACTTTGATTACTATAATGCATGTGTTGTGATACTTGACATGACGTCATCCACCCCAGAACGTTTCCGCCGTTCCGGTTTTGGGGTGTGACACTTTTCCTTTCCTGTTAACTCGTTAACAAAAAAAGCTCTTTCTTTAGAACATGAAAACACAAAAATACAACTTTCTTTAATTTTTTTTTATCTTTATTTCTATTCATTTCTTTCCTTTATTTAAAACGAAGAACTAGACGAACCACACACCAAAATCCATTTTTTTTTAGCAAAACTCCCCCCCCCCCCCCCCAATTTATTGATTTATTTATTATTCTTCTTTTGACAATACTAGAACTATTTTTTCATTTTTCTCTAAACAGTAAAATAGACTTTAGTTGAAGCAAAATTTGGGAAAATCACGCAAAAACCCTATGTATTATACTCCAGTGCTTGAAAAAACCCTTATATTATCAATTGGTGCAATTTAACCATTATTATTTCAAAAACTGTGTAATCTATCTCTTTTATCCGGTAACCCTAGGTTACCCGTTCTTGTTAATCTACGTGGACTACATTCGTTCTTTTTTAACCTGATAGCGGTCATTTGTAAAAAAACAAAAGGGAAAGCTACATACAGAGGGAAAGCTTCTCGGAAGTGGCGGGAAACTTGTTGCTTGATCACACGAAAAAAAGGTAATCGATCATTTCTATTATGCTTAATCTGAACATCAAACCGTCTTTTAACCCTAGTTCTTATATTTGTTGTTTCCATTGATTCTTCAAGGAGCTTTAACCAAAAACTATGGCTTCAAGTTCAAATGTATTATGTGAAATTTATACAGAGGGCGTGAATGGAACAGATGATGAGTCTGATGAAGAAGAATATGTTCCTTCTTCAATGGACAAAACAATATGGGATCCTTTTTTGAATGACTTGGTACAAGGTGAAGTGGAATTGCCTGAAATATCATCTGATGATGCTGAATTGACCCATTCAGATGAAGAATATGACCAAGGAGAGCATAAAGATCAACAAATCGGGGACCAATTTCTTGTACACAACCCTAGGATCCCTTGGAATATGATGGAACCACAATTGGGGGAAAAATATTAAAGCCCAGAGCAGTTCAAGCTTTGTCTAACAAATTATGCGGTGGCTAATGGATACCAATTGAGGTTTGCCAAGTGTGATCGTTCTAGGATATTAATACGATGTGACAAAAAACTGATGAGAATAAGTGTCCATTTAGATGTTCGGTGTCTTGGATGGGGAATGAATTAACTTAGCAAGTGAAATCTTTGGAAAAGAAACATGTTTGTGCACGAAAATACAGCCTCTACTCATTGATAACTCCAAGTTGGATTGCTAACCATTATCTTAGTGACCTAATTCACAATCCCAAAACAAAAGTCAAAGAAATGAAAGCTGGTTTTTTACAGAGATATTCTTTAAAGCTTAGCAAAGGTCAGTGTGAAAGGGTAAGGACCTTAGCATTTACACTAATTGATGGCAAGTTAACTGATCATTATGTTAGAATATGGGATTATGGGAATGAAGTTTTGAGATCAAACCTAGGAAGCACTGTTGAAATTGGAGTCGATGTCAATCCGGATGCAAAATATTTCAAAAGAATCTACATTTGTTTGAAGGCTTTAAAAGAAGGATGGTTGAAAGGATGTCGTAAGGTGATTGATTTAGATGGATGTTTCTTGAAAGGGAAAGTTAAAGGAGAGTTGCTAGCTGCTATTGGTCGAGATGGAAATAACCAAATTTACCCCATTGCATGGGCGGTTGTGAACGTAGAAAATAAAGATAATTGGAAGTGGTTCATTGAATTACTACAATCAGATATTGAAACAGTTCAAGAAAATGGGCTTACTTTAATATCAAATCAACATAAGGTAATTTTCTACCTAATAATGCTTATTTTGACCAATATGGATATATGTTAACAACCTTATGTCAAAACAACCCCTATGGACATTTTTGGACACTTTTTAACAAAATTTGACATATTTAAAATGACAAAACAACCCTTATGTGAAAGCAGCCCCTATTGACATTTTTTGACACCTTTTTAACAAACTTTGACATATTTGAAATGACAAAACAACCCTAATGTCAAAACAGCCCCTATGGACATTTTTGGACACTTTTTAACAAAATTTGACATATTTAAAATGACAAAATAGCCTTTATGTGAAAACAGCCCCTATTGACATTTTTTGACACCTTTTTAACAAACTTTGACATATATGAAATGACAAAACAGCCCTAATGTCAAAACAACCCCTGTTGACATTTTTGGATGCTTTTTATCAAAATTTGACATATTTAAAAGGACAAAACAACCCTTATGTGAAAACAACCCGTATTGACATTTTTGACACATTTTTAACAAACTTTGACATATTTGAAATGACAAAACATCACTAATGTCAAAACAGCCCCTGTTGACATTTTTGGACACTTTTTTTAACAAATTTTGACATATTTAAAATGATAAAACAACCTTTATGTCAAAACAACCCCTTTTGACATTTTTCGACACTTTTTAATTAAGTCTTCTAACATATTTAAATGCAGGGTCTTCTTGAAGCCATAAAGGAGGTGATGCCACATGCTGAGCACCGACAACGTGCCCATCATATTTGTGCTAATTTTTACAAACGTTTCAGTGGAGAGATTTATAAAACCTTATTTTGGCAAGCTGCAAAGTCCACAACAGATCAAGAGTTCAAAAACAATATGGAAAAGATGAAAGAGTTGAACAATGATGCATATGACGATCTCATTAAAAGAAATCCTAAAACATGGTGTAGGGCCTATTTTGAAACGGATAGGGCATGTGAGGCTGTAGAAAATGGAATATCCAAGTCTTTTAACTCTGCAATCATTGGTGCTAGGGGAAAACCTTTGATAACTATGTTAGAAGAGATTAGACTTCATGTGATGGAGAGGTTTGATGCAATGATAAGGAACACAAATTCATGGAAAACTATTGTTGTTCCAAACATAATTAAAAAGATGAGAAAATGGCACAAAAAGATGAGGTATAGATTTTTTTTTTTTCCAAATTCGATTGTTCTATAATAAATTTTAAAAATATTATACTAACTTTACATATTTGCTAGGAATTGGATTGTTATCCCAAGTGGGCCTCTGTTGGAGGTTAGAAATGGTTATGAAGGATATATGGTAAACTTGGAAGGATGGGCATGCACATGTAGACTATGGGTATTGTCTGGCCTTCCATGTGTAAATGCATGCGCGGCTATAAACCATACCCACCAAAATCTCCTTGACTATGTAAGTGATTGGTTCAAGAAGGAAAAATATCAGTTGGCTATATAACACTTCCATTGTTCCCTTAAATGGAAGCAATTTATGGGTTAAAACTCCATATGATAAGTTATTGCCCCCAAAAGAACGTAGGATGCCAGGAAGGCCTTCTATTAAAAGAAAAAGAGACAAGAATGAAAAATAGACAAAGTATCCAACCGTTTCTGGTAAAGGGAAAATAAAGAAGTGTCATAATTGTCTACAAGAAGGGCACAATGCTAGGACATGCAAGAATGAAAAGGTTGTGCCCCCTCCTAAGGAAAAGAAGCCTCCTGGTAGGCCTAAAAAAACAAACTCTGATGAAAGACCTTCGAGAGGACCATCTGCAGCTACAAGTGGTGGTAGAGGCGGAAAAGGACCAACAGGGGCAAGAGGTGGAAGAGGATCATCTGCAGGTACAAGTAGTGGTAGAGGAGTTCCTATAACTCAAGATGATGGAGTTGCCGAAACTCAAGATGTAGTGCCTGAAACTCAATTTGATATTGAAAATGGTAAGAAATAATTATATATATATATATATATATATATATATATATATATATATATTCTATGATTATATTAAATTTAATAATTTCATAACTTTTTTTTGTAGCTAATTTGGAAGATCAATCTAATGTGGTTGGCGGGATAGGAATTGATGTACCTGTTATCCGTGCAAAGCTCAAACCAAGAAAACCATCTGAAAGAATTATTTAGAATATTAGATTTAAGGGTTGGAATGGGACAAAACTCTAGTCTTTTGTAATATTTTTGTTACTTGGAATTTAGTACTCCTAGTATTTTGTTATTGAAATGTAATAACATTATGTCCCAAGGGCAAAATGGTCAATGGGCAAAACTGGTGAATTGAACTATTTCGTGTGAACTATTTATGTATGATGAATCATATTTTTTTTTTTTTTCTGTTTCTGGATTTCCAAATCAGGGGTGATAGAGTATTAAAATAGATATGAGTCAGGAGGTTAAAATGGGGAATAACTTATCAATACAATATTGAAATCATATTTCTTTTTCTGTTTCTGTTTTAGTATTTTTTTTTCTTGTTTATGTTCTGTTTCTACGTTCGGTGTTGGTGTTTGTGAAAAAAAAGTATTATGCATAAAATTGTTACTTGCATCTAGTGTTCCTAATTATCAATTCAATGCCTGGTGCAAAAAAAGTGCTATTGATATTGGTGCAAAAAAGTATTATGCAGAAAAAAGTATTAAACAACAGTTGTATTAGCTGTGTTTAATACCTGGTGCTATTGATGTTGGTGTCTGCTTAAAAAAAATGTTATGCAAAAAAGTGCTACCTGCATCTAATTACCAATTGAATCCAAATGCTTAAATTGTAAAAACACAACTGGGGAAATGCAGGTAAGTATTGAAACCAAAAAATGAAACCATCAACAATAATCTCCATAAGGAGATAATATGCGACCAAAAGGGTAAAACTATTCAACTAATTTGTACACAAATATAAAATGACATTAGAACCTAAGAAGAGAACCTGGAACAATCCATATACTCACATAACTATTTTACATTAACCTACTTTAAAGTACATTTCTTTAACTTTACAAAGGTGCATAAACCAAACAACACCTTAATACATAATTAGCTATTTTACATTAACCTACTTTCGCTGTTACATAATTATAACCCAAATGAAAATGCAAACCAGAACAATGCCATACATCATCAACCTAACCATGAATACACCGGTCTCTTTTTTGTCAATCGGCTCAAAGTTCATTAATTTCTTTTGCAGATTCATGTTCTCGTTCTCCAGTTCCATATTCTTTTTAGAAAGGATCATATTCTCCCTATGTAACTCATTCACTTTACTCTTAAACAGTGAAGACCCAAATCCTCATCCACTCACACAAAAAATTTACAATCTTTTGAAGTATTCTACAGAAAAAAAGTATCTGAGTAAGAATTAGAGAAAGCGTATCAATCTTAAAAGAATCTTAGATACTAGCGAATTAGGGCATCAAATGAAATGTCGCCTTGGGTTCTTCCTGGTTGTTGAAGTCTAGATCTTTGGTTGTTCACCACATCTACACAAAATGTTTTCGTAGTTTAGAATTGAGGAAGAAGAAGAAGAAGATCCATACGATCGATCGGCCATTTCTGCAAAGACGAAGTTAAAAAAAGAAGAGGAACAAGAAAAATATCGTAACTTTGAAGAACCCAGGGCGATGCACTTTTTAACCTAGTTTTCTTTGCCAACGTGTCACCTAATGTACAACCATGTCATCTATTTAGATGCCACGCCATTTATACCATCGGTTCCTTAAGCTTAACCGGTTACAAATCATTAAAATAATAAATATCACAGATAATAATGGTTAAATTGTACCAATTGATAATATAAGGGTTTTTTTAAGCGTTAGAGTATAATACATAGGGTTTTTGTGTTGTTTTTCCGCAAAATTCTTTTATTATTTTTGTTTTCTAGTATAATTTTTTTAAGTATAAATAAAAAGAGAAAAAAAAACATTCGACTTCAAAAACCCTCATTTAAACTTCCTGCTTTACTTGAGTCGGTACGTTAATGGAAGCCTCGACGTCCATTGCATCTTCGGCGGTTAGGTCATGGAGGACGATCTTTTTGACATTGAGGGACGAAGTGCAGAACTCTCCAACTGCTTCTACTGTCGTTCAGCTCCTTAACAATCTAATTTTCTCCCAATCTGAAACCCTGATTGCCGCTATCCCCAATCTCCCTGTCCATGAGGTACGGAGCTGTTCTCTTTTATGTCCACAGTCTCATTCGTCTGTTGTTCATACACACAAATGTATCTGGCTTTTCAGGTCACCTCGGATGCGATGTTTGTTTTGGAATTGGTCGGGCCTATATCGAATTCCAGAGGGGATGAGGATACTCGTCATGCGTTGGTGCAGCTATCCAACCTGGTAACTCTTACTGTATAAATCTTTATGCCTAAATCATGTCCATGCGTGCTCTGTGTCTCATTATACTTGATATGTAACTCAAAGCTCAATGGGGTAGACGAGTTTGTTGACACAAGTGAAGTTTAGAAACCCCTTTCTTTTGAAATTTACAACCCTTTCATCCTCTCACTCTATTCCATAGGATTTGTACTAAGGTAAAAGCTTGTTGAGCCACAACTTAAGTTGAAACGTAATAAGGTTTGATGTTCTAGCAATTAAGTTGGGTGAAAGTATAAGTTTGTTCCTTGTTTCCGAGCTTAAAGTAGAGAGTGAAAGAGATTTTTGGGCATATTCTTAGGTGAAACGACGACTTCCCATAAACAAAGGAATTTGGCATTCCTAGATGTTGTCTATGGAATGTTCAATTCCTTCAAATTATATGGAAAAAAAGTACTCTTTATTATATTATTATCATTATGATATGATTACAATTATTATTTGATTTCTTTTTATTGTTTTATAAATACTTATATCATGATTAATTTATAACAGAAAAATAATTTATTCCAAAGATATGTCTGTTACCAAACATTAAATCCAAGGATTGTCAACCAAATGCATGCACATTCCATTCAATTCCCTCAAAATTCCAATTGTTTTGACAATTCCATTCCCTCACAACAGAATTCTCTATTTGAATAATCACTGTCTCTTTGATCATTATTTTTCTTGTGTTTAATAATTGACTTTCACATTATGCTTGTGTTGCTTTATTTTCTCCAGATTCATAGCTTCAGCCATCTTATTTCTTTCAAAGTGACATCATCAACATGGGGTCTTGTACTTCACACTTTTGGAGGAATGGTGGAAATGTTCCTTGGTATAGCTGGAATAAAAAGAGATTCTTCAGATAATATTTCTGTCACTGAAGCCACCAAACACTGCTTAGACACTGTTAGGTTTGTTTTCTTGTCAAATATATTCTTTTCTTTTTCAAATTTGTTTTATAATTCTACTCATTTAAAACTTTCCAAGTTTCCAGATCTCTTGTTGATGTTAATCAGAGAACAATTACACTATCAGACAATATGCAACTGTTAAACTTTCTTCTCAAAACAGTTACATTATCTCACAATATTCGAAAAAGCAGTCCATGGGAAATTCAGACAACTGTTTTTACAATGATGAGTGAAGTTTTCTCAAGAGTTGGGACATCTTTACCACCTGATCATTGGCACACAGCAGTTGATGTGAGCATTTTCTGTTTACATGATTAACAAGTTTTCAATTTCTTTTTTATAGTGTTTGATTGAAATCTATCTGTCTACTGTTTCAGGCTTTCAGAAATACTCTGGATGTATTAGCAAATAAAGGTCCACTCATGGAAGGCAATGTAATGGATAGGTAGTCTTCTTTTGCTTCTCACTCAGGTAACTTATTATCTAAACAATCATGCCAAATTTGATCAGTAAGTGAATGTTTCAACTGTTCTACAGATTTTACACCTCACTCCTTCATTCCCTGCACTTGGTTTTAGTAAATGCAAAAGGATCCCTTCAAGACCATGTAATTTTTTCTCATTCTTGGACTTAAACTGTGTTATAATCATTAAAATGTTTATTGTCACCAGTATATCTGTATATGTTTTCTTACAGGTTGCTGGTTTTGTAGCTGCATTAAGAATGTTCTTTGGTTATGGTCTTACTAGTAAGTCACAGATTGTGTACACAAAAGAAGTTAGGATGCCAAGCCTTAGTTCTGAATCAGCTGGATCCAGTAGTGGGCCCTACAGGCCTCCACATGTGCGTAAACAAAGCCAAAAAGGGATGCAGTCAAAAGATTCCAAATTGGAGTTTTCACATGCAGCTTCTATAGGTTATATGTCATCTGATTCTGATTTTAGTGATAGTGATGGATCAGTTAAAGGTATTGGTAATTATCGGAGCTCTAAGATTAGAGTAGCTGCCATTGTTTGCATACAGGTATGAGTTTTTGCTATTTTTTTTTGTTACATGCATGGATATATATAAAAGTAAGAATGATTATGTAATTTAAAATGGGAAATGTGTTTGATTTTGTGTGAAAGGATCTTTGTCGATATGATCCAAAGTTATTTGCTGCACAATGGACAATACTTTTGCCCTCAAGTGATGTGCTTCAAGCAAGGTAAAAGACAATGCTTTCTCTGTTGTTTTTGTTGTATTAATTTTGTATATATATTTTTTAATCATTGTAGTGTAAATGTGTAATACGTTTGACAGGAGGTATGAAGCAAACCTGATGACATGCTTGCTGTATGATCCATATCTTAAGGTATTAATGTTGATTTTATAGTTTATACATTCATGTTGCTTTTTATCATGGGATGTGTTTAATATGTATGGATTTCAGGCACGTATTGCATCTGCATCTACTTTGGCAACCATGTTGGAGGGGCCCGCATCTGTTTTTCTTCAAGTAGCTGAATATAAGGAATCTACCAAGTTGGGATCTTTTACTGCTCTTTCCAGTTCACTTGGTCAGATTTTGATGCAACTTCACACAGGTATCTATCTGATTTTTTTTTTTCTTTCTTTCAACATGAACCTCACTCCAATTAACTTCCATTTAATCCACTCAAGTCACCTTTTATATGCTTTTACTGTTCTTTAATGTTTTTAGGAATCCTGTATTTGATTAAACATGAGAAAAACAGTGGATTTTTAACCTCCTTGTTCAAGATTCTGACACTTTTGATCTCATGTACACCGTAAGAATTCTCATAATCATCATTACTTCAATGACACTCTCTTGTATTATAAGCTAATGATTACT